CCGGTCCTATCTCCTTCCCTCGTCCCCTCCCTCCCTTTCTCGTTCCCTCCTTCACTTCTTCCTTTCCACCCTCCCTCCTTCCCTTCTTCCATTCCACCCTCCCTCCTTCCTTTCTTCCTTTCCACCCTCCCTCCTTCCCTTTTTCCTTCCCCCCTTCCCTCCCTCCCTCCCTTCATCCCGTCCTCCTTCCCTCCCTCCCTTTTGCCTCTTTCAGGCCTACAACATTGACAAGAAGGCCCGTTTTGAACAAGCGCAAAAATTGCGCGAAGCGAAGAAAATGGAAACCAAGAGGAAAGAAGAGGCAGCTCGGGCAGCTGCCTTGAAAAAGGAGGAGGAAGAGGCAGAGGTAATCACGTTATCCTCCTTCCCTCCCTCTTTCCCTCCCTCGCTCCCTCCCTCTCTGAGGAAGAAGAGAAGGAGGAGGGTTAAAGGAGGAGGAGGAGAATGAGAAGGCGGAGAGGGACAGGGAGAATTACAAAATGAGAGAGGGGAGAGAAGAGAGGTGGAGAACATGTAGGACGTGGTATATGTATTACTGTGGTGGAGAACATGGAGGACGTGGTATATGTATCTGTGTGTGTTTCTGTGCATGTTTGACGGTGCAGGTAAGGGAGAGGGAGGAGGGCTTCATCTCATCAAGAAAAAAAAGGAAAGGAAAGCGAACAAAGACAGGGCAATGGAGGGAGCTGAGGAAGAGGACGAAGAATACCGAGGAGGGTCCAGCCTGTCAGTCCCGTCGTTTCATACCTCTGCATGGCTCTACATTACGCATGCAAATGTGCCGACCTGTGTCCGGAAACAAGAAAAATGACAAAAAAACTAGAGCAATGACACACAGGGCGGTAAATCAATGAACAAAAAAGAGAACCTCGTGAACGATGGATCGATAGATCGACCGGAAAATGCGACCAAAAAATGGCTCCAGGAATCGATGTTTGCTTGGCTATGACCGGTATTTCGATCCATTGATGCGATATGCTTGAGCATTCACGCTTAGATATGATTGGTGCCTTTGTTGGCCCGAAAGTATGATCTGTTGGAATTTTGTTGAGCTCGTTTTCCCTGGCCATGATCGTCCGGTCATGATCTCAGCCCGTGCGCTGTTGAGCTCATTTTCCATGGCTGTAACGATCATTTTGATAGAGCGGAGGCCTGGGTTCTCGAAATTTTGTTGCGTTTCATAGAGGCTAATACACGGTCAATTTAAGCAATCAATATCACCCCTTTCGAAAGGCTCTTTCAGCCGTTGCGATGATGCTCACGAAAGAGGTACAATATCGGTCAAGCATTACCATCAATCCAGACCCACAGTCCCCGTCTTTGCGGTTGTGTTGCTCGCATATGGTTCAGGTGGAACATGCGAGCAACTTGGAGCTTCGGGTTGCAAAAGTCGGCTCGTGTTTTTCCCTCTGCTACGGCCCTCACAAAGGGTAGCCCGTCGTTGCCCGTCTCTCACACGCCCCACATCCGGGTCGCCTAGGATGCGGGGATGATTCGGGCAGCTATGAACAGCAAATTCAGACCCGTGGTCCATGTCCTTGCGATTGCGTTGCTCGCATGTGCTTCATGAAGCAAAGTGGAGTTATGAATCGCAAAACTCGGGATTTGTCCGTGTCTGCTTGTTTCCCCCCCCCGCTGCGGCCCCCTACAAGCAGTGTCAGCGACGAAAGAGAGCGGAGACGAAGCTAGAGCTTCAAATACCAAAAGTTAGTTGATCGAGCTTTCAAAACTTTCACACCCGCCATATCAGGGTCATCCGCACGCTGCACCATGTCCGTGTGCTTATGCTGATTATTCCATGCCTTTCTTCGCGTATATCCAGTCCTGCTATTGTGGTCGCAGATACTTGAAGGATCGACTACTTCTTAGTAAGCGGTAGGCCCAAGAAATGAGCGCATCTGAAAGCATAGAAGAGATGCGCTGTGCTTCATGTCATCAAGAAAAAATAGGAAAAGAAAGCGAAGAAAGACAGGGCAATGGAGGGAGCTGAGGAGGAGGACAAAGAATATCGTGTCATGGCTGAGCGGGACAAGGATGAAGAGGAGGTAGCCTTCAAGGAAGGGAGGTAAGCGGTTTATTTCTGCCATGCATGCCCCTTCCCTGTAGCTCGCAGGGTAATCTATGGTGCATACCAAGACATGGATGGATCGAGTGTGCACATTCTCGTCGAACGCCTGATTCCTTTCTTTAACCTGCCGGCGTAGTCGAGATAAGAGGACGCTCTGGCGCTCTATACCCAAGGGATGGCAACAGAGTCTGACAATCAAGTTTTGGACAGCGAGGGAAATCATAAACAAATGGAGAGTCAATTTCTGGAGACGCCAAGGCTCCTCACGGGCCTGGAAGGAGGATGGAGGGGGTGATTCTTTTCTCATCACAATGTACAAGCTAGGCGCTCAAACACCGCAATTATTCAAAAAGAACACGAAGCAAGACTACCCGAAATAAGAAACAGCACCAATTACTTCCCTCCCTCCCTCGCTCCCTTTCTTGCTCATTCCTTCCAAAAATGCATGGTCCCACCTACAGCCCTCTCGCTCCTTCGCATCTTCGCATAGATCCCCATCTTACTCTTGCCCTCCCTGCCTCACTCCCTTTCACACTTCTTTCTACCATCCCTCCAGCCCTCTCCTCCATTTGGAGAGAAGGAAGCGTGGGACGAAAGACGACACACTCCTACACCTTTTCCCTGGATCTCCTTCCCCCACATCTCAATTCTTATTCATATCTCTCTCTCGTAGTTCTCCATGCGCGAGTTCTGTGTTTTCGGAGAGAGATCAGCTCGTTGAAAGTGGTATTTGTCAGAGTTATACTACATTATTTATAGAGATTTCAACTCGTCGAAACTGGTGTTTGTCATAGGGACAACGTGTTGTCATAGTGAATACAAAAAGAGGCTTCGGTTCGTCAAAAGTAGTATGTGTCGTGTAAAGGGCATCTTTTCAGGAATACGAATTTCATCTTCGGAACTTTTTGACGCGAGCGCCGCAGAGAACGGGGGGCATAGTTCCGTTGGGGACGGCTTCTGTGTGTTCCGACCGGTGTGTCCTGTATTCTGCCTTGTAAGCGTACATCTCATCTTTTTCCCATGGAATATCGCAGAATGGTTTCCATTACGTGATAGCCCTTTTGACTTGCACCTGTGATGCCCTGCACCTTGCTACAATACAACGTGGTACTTGAGGTCCTGTTCTTTTCTGAGAGTTGTAGTCCGTTGGAGTCAGATTTTGGCCCATGTCACCCACACCATATTGAGATTTGGGCCCATATCACCCACACCATATTGGATCGATGCACGATGTCCAAGTGATCTTCCTCATTCCCTACTGACTACCTTCACGCTCCAGTGTATTCCATTATACCTAGAATAAGTATCCATGCTGTGTCCCAAGATGAGAACGAGGCCGTTCTTATTATTTTTGGTCGGGATGCTGGCCCTGAGCACTGCTAGTGCCGCGCCTGCGTTTATGTACGGTATCGACGACAACAATGAGATTATTCAATACGATCCGGTTAACAAGATGACCAGGCTCGTCCAAGATACAGGTTTGACGAAATTTCAAGGAAGTAATGCATTTGCCTTTGACGAGGTCAGGAACCAGATGTTTTGGCTCTACCAGGGCGATGCTACCAATCCTGCCGGCTTGTACTATTGGGACCAGGTCACCGGAACCATCGACCGTATCGCCAGCCAAGCGCAAACCTGGGACAATCAACGCTTCCCGGCAAATGCGGTGTATTACCGCGACCCCAGCACTGGCATATCATATTTCGTTTGGATCACTGAGGGTGGGAGCACGGTCAATTTCCTCCCCATCACTTATGATGCTTCCGGGAATCCTACTGGAGTAGGAGCAGATATTCAACGAACTATTTCGGGGCCTTCTTTCAGCCCAAGCTTTATGAGGTTCGGCGATATAGCCGTTCAGACGAGCACCAAGCAATTATATTTGGCAACAAGCAACGGGCGATTCTCCAAGATTGACCTCACCAACGCATTCGGGCAGGCCCTGCTTCCTTACACAGAAATCAAGACGGGCAATCCCTCCCTTCAGCTTGCATTCGACTGCGAAGAAAATATCTTGTACGGTCAGCGATACGTTGCGACGGACACTGGCAGTGACAATTGGTACACCATCAACCTGGCGACTGGCGTGACGACAACGATTCCCAACTACTCAACTGAAGGTGCCAGGTTATCAGCACGGGATCTAGGTGGCTCCTCATGCACTGACTCGCCTTTGACAGCAAGGTAATAAGCGTAACCTTCTTCGGTAGATGACATATACACTGATCCTCTGACGTGCACAATCATTCTCCATGCCACACATTCCAGCCCTACCCGAGCTCCTACCGGACAACCGACCAGCACTCCTACCGCAACCCCCACCTTTTCCCCTAGTGCTAGTCCCTCATCCGTGGGTCCAACAGGTGAGTTCGATTAAGAAATCGTGGAGCTCAGCTCGCTGAGGGGTGCTTCAGAGAAGGATGATCCCCTCCATGAGACGAAGGACCTTGTCCGCGGGGCTCGATTGCCTTACTTGACTCTTTTCTTTGTTTAATCAGCAGCTACATGTTTCCTAATGTGGTCGAGGTCTTTGTTGTCTTATTTTCTAAACTTGATCGGAACCATTTTCCCAATTACACCCACCACGGTCCCCACGTCGGTCGTATGCCCCCCACCAAGTCCCACTGCATCCCCAAGACTGATTTGTATCCTCAATCCGCACCCCATCTTTGTCCTGGTGTGGTCGAACTCTTTGTCGTCGTCTCATCTAGAGCTTTATATCTTTATCCCTTTTACCAGTCACACCCACTCCGGCCCCCACATCGTTGCTACCAACGCCGTCCCCGAATCCCACTGCCTCCCCAACCCTGAGTCCTACTAGCAGCCCGACAGCGGCGCCGACCTTGACTCCGACAGCGTCTCCAACAACTACGCCCACGCCAAGTACGTGGAATGTCTTGCGTAATCGTTATCCTTTGTGCCTTGAGTTGCGCAGGATGTGGACTGAAGGATGTTTCACATTGCCCCTTTCATATCCTGATACGGCAGGTCCCACTTCCGTCGCACCATTCTGTCTTGACTGTGCTATAACAAGCACTACTTGTGCGGATACTGGAGGTAAGGAGCTAGCCCAAGAGGTGGAAGAGAAAGCCTGGAGACAACAATACCTCACATTTTCTCATGTTGCAACTCCCGACATTTATGACCACGTGGAACAGGCAATTACTTGGGCTTCTTTCCAAACACTACGACCCCCGAGGCATGCTCGACGCAGTGTCAGACTTTCTTTCCTGGTTTTGTGAGCTGGTTTGGACTACTTATTGCGTCCGAGGTAAGCTGGGTCACATATGCAACTAGACTTGTCAACATCCCCCCTGGTTCCGTGCACCATTCCAATAACACGTTCCACCCAAAATTTAGATTTGTACATGCTTCTTCAGCTGTTCAATCCAGCTCCCTGCGAATGGCTCGGTCATTTATCCTGTGCTGCCCCCCTGTGACCCTCTTCTAAAATATAAGCAAGCCGCACGCAAAAAGGTGGTTATCAGGAGCCGGAAGCCCAAGACCATTGTCTCCACCCGGATTCGGGTGAGATCGTATAACAAGACATCTCTTCCCAATGTCTTGCTGGACCTCCCCTATGGAATCGATTTTGTGAGCGCAAAAGGACCAAGCGCAAAGACAGCCGACATCCAGATTGACGCCTTGGCCAACGTGATCTACATTTTGGCATCGCCCTTACAAAAGTCAAAACGGGTGGTCTCATACAAGATCAAGGTGAGTCTGGGAGTTCGGAAGCTAGATGCTCTGTCTCAACAGTTGCCTTTTCCTCGTGCAGGCAGACGAAGGTCCCCCATTCCCCTAACTTCATGCCATCTCGCTTTTCCTTCCCGATGAAAACTAGCTCAACGTCACAGAGGAGTTTACAGACAATGTTTTCAACATCGATTTCGGAATTTTTGAGGGAACCAGATCAAGTGCTACGTGCCTGAGCGAGCTGCCACCTCTTCCGGTACGACACGCAGAAAATGCGCAATGTGTGCCACGCTCGCTCGGCTCCATTGTGATTCTTTCTTTATGTCTCTTTCCATGTCATTGTCACAGGTTTCCATCATTCGCAAAGATTCGAGAATGAAGAAGGGCAAGACTGTGTAAGCTCAAATATCACGCCATTTGAGGCAGTCAAAGCAAGCGAAGCGACGGGGCATTTCTCTTCAGCTTGTGACGAAATGAAAGTCAAATTAGTCTTGCTAACGCGTGCACCAGGAACAGAAGGGCTTTTTTGACGGTTGACAAAGTTTTCTTGAGGACATAAGTTTGGAAAATGGGGTTGGGTGTTTCGATGGGCGACAATCGTGGGATCATTCCTTTGGGTTTCGATTGTCTTGGGGTTGTAAGGTATTGAAAGTATTGGGGAAAAGGGACGGGTACTTGTCGTCAGCTTGGCAGGAGTAAGAGACCTCGATGTTTGTCAGGTGGATATCAGGCTATTGTGCTGTGTTTGACACTTGACGTGGGGTTCAAGTGTTCTCAAGGAATTGATATTCAAGAGGGTTCGGATTGAGGTCATGTGCAAAATTGTGGCATTTGACTTGAGGCGAGTGTTCCCTGGGGTACGGAGACATAAAATGAAAAAAAATGAGATTAGCCCTGTGGCTTGGGCAGACCAAAGAGAAGGATTGATTTAAATTTTGCACCGCATCTGTTTTCCTTTTTTTTAATGGCGCGCCAAAGTACGATTCTCAAAATAAAGAAGAAGGCTGTTGTGGAAATCATGCCTCCTGGTAGTGTGTGCGGAAGAATGATAGTTCAGGTTGCAGTCCTATGCAGCGACAGATGATTGCCCGGGGTTTCAATTTTGTAGGCATTTGTATTCCGTAAATAATTTCCCGTTCGAGAAAGGGGTGCTCAGCTTTGTAATTTTTTCCATTACTTATTCAGGCAGCATGCTTGCGATAGAGGGATGATATCGGTCAGGTACCAGCACAAAATCAAGACCTATGGTCCACGTCCCTGGCGATTGTGTTGCTCGCATATGCTTCATGACAAAGTTTGGCACCCTGTAGTTTCGGATCGCAAGGCCCGAGGTACGCCCGCCTCTGTTTGTAGTACTAAATTCGGTACAACTCTGCACGCACTGTCAGCGACACGAAAGAGCGAAGGCGAAGCTATAGCTTGAAAGACCAATAATCCGTTGATCGAGCATTAAAAGCCTTCACATCCACTTTATCTGGTGATTTGCATTCTAATTTATGCCCACATGTCCATGCATTTCTTCGCACATCTGAACTCCTGCTATCAGGGTCGCAGATACTTGAAGGCCCGTCTACGCCGTCGGCCCAAGAGATGAGCGCACCTACATGCACGGGGGAAACGCCCTCTGCTTCATCTCACCAAAGTGTAGAAAAGGAAGAGAAAGCAGACAAAGACAAAACAACGGAGGGATCCAATGAAGAGGACGAAGAATACCGTGTCTTGGCTGAGCGGTACAAAGATGAAGGGAACGCAGCATTCAAGGAGGGGAGGTAAGCCTTTTGTATCTCTTGTTTATGCCTCTTTCCCGTGGCTGTAGGGCCACCTACGGTTCACGCCAAGAAATGGACACATCGAGTGTACACTTTCTTCTTCAACGCCTTATTTCTTTTCTTGAACTTGCTTGCATGAATCAGGTACAAGGAGGCTCTAGCGCTCTATACCCAAGGTGTGGCTATAGACCCCGACAACCACGTTTTGTACAGCAATCGAAGCGCCGCCTTTCTGAAAGAATCTGAACGGGGCAAGGTACGTCATTCTGTTCGAAAGAATGGCTGGGGGAGAGGGGTTCCGTGTCGGCTGGTTCGGGCTTCCTTATGCTGCGTGCGACATTATTATGGAAACACCACCATGTTACGTGAACGTTGTGATTTAGGGAAGAAAATCGCCAATTCTTTACAGATTTCATTTCCCTTTCAAGAGCAATACCTACTCACCTTCGCTTTTTCTTTTCCCACTCTTCCTCCCCTTTCTTACCGGCCGCCCTCCCTCCCTCCCTTCCTCCCTCCC